CTGCGTGTTGACGCACTGCTTGCTCGCCGGCTTACGGACCGGCTACATTTGCGTTTACATGCTGGAAATATAATTACTACTTAATTCACAACTTGCGTACTTATTGAGTTAAACGGAATACAACAGTCTCCCTCCAGTCTGATTTTACAATTGTTTACGATTGGTTCGAGGCAGCTGTGCAACATCAACCATTTACCCAGAAGTTTGATACTCTGGATCTCTTCCTCGAACAGTCTGACTACTTCAACGCTGCCGACTTCACTGTATATGTACGGTCGGCGACAGTCCCGTTGGTCTTTTGGGTTTTCTTGATTTCTCACCTTTTCGCATGCTTTCCATCTCATCCTTGACCACAGCATGATCAACTTGGGCCCAGTTTCGGGGTCTATCCTTCGTAGAATAACTCAGGTGATCCAAGATTCGCGAGCATTGATCCGCGCGGTCAGTGCAATGTCGACAAATTCAGCTCAGGGATTTTTGCATGGTGTGCGTGTGTGTGATAACAGAAGCGACATCTATCACGATGTATACCCTTAGTCGCTGCCTCAACACATGAGCTGGCCCCACAGAGCCCTGAACTCTCCATGTGCCTCATTTTTTCTTTGTTTGTCAATAGAAATTCAATATGCAAAATAGTCTAGAATCCTTTTCGATCTGATAGTATACGAATAAAGTTGAACATGAATGAAACAGTTAAAATCAGTAGCAGAAAGGTGAGATAATACCACAAAAGGATAAGGTGACGCTACGGATATACAACTGCGCCTCAAAGTCTATACGGAATAAAATACTTCCTAGAAGTTTACCGACGACAAAAATTTGAACCGCGCGGTTCATGAAGATCAGATCCGATAGAAAAATTGAAGTAAGCAAACTAGTGTGCATTAGCAGCAAACAAAGCTAGGGAGAATTATTTAGACTGCGGTAGTTTTACTGTGCAGACGACCGGAAGTTTTCCGCCCTCGCCAGACCACACTTGGAGTATTGTGTACAGCCTTGGACACTCGTATTCAAGAAAGATGCCACCAGCTTGGAGCCCGAGAATCAGTTTAAGACTCCAAGACTTCAAGAATGTCTAGACTGCTAGAATGGTTGAAGGCCAGCGAGGAAGGATATATGAGAAAATGCTAGAGGCTCTGAGGATTTCTCATTAGAAAGGAAAAGACCCCGCTTAGACCCTTTAGAAACCTTCAAAATCACGAAGGGGTGTGGTGATTCTAGCCTACGAGGTGACGCATACCACGGAGCGACACTTTACGGTTTTCGGACAAACGTGATGAATCAATCCTCCCAAGTGTCGTCAGTAAAGCGCGGACGTGTCACAGCTTTTGGAATACGAAACATAGGCCTACTGTACCAAACTATCAGGTCAGGTCAGNTCAGGTCACAGGAATTGCGACTGATGCCAATTTGAGTCCAAGTACTTGCATCGTGAGCGTATCGTTTGCCTACGCGTGCTTCAGAAGCCGTGCGGTCCAGACAGAAGCTGTACAATGCCAGAAATACTAGCACGCGATTGACAGAGGCTTGGATGACCAATGAACTTGTTTTGTATATTTTATTTAAACCCTATGATTTCCTTCAATGAAAGGACTGCTGTTCCTGTGGCCTTTTACTAGCGTCTCGGTTACACAGGGTAGTCGCGTTAACACCGGTGTGATTCATTGCGCACATTACCAAAATGTGCTAGCTAAATCGTTTTTAACAAAAGTTTCGGCGTATTCTTTCAAGGTAAACCACTTTTAGACCACGGAATGATGTCTCGTAGCAAGCACCCAAAAATTTCAACCTGGCGGTCAAACAGTGCGTGATATTTTTCGAAATGATTTCCCTGGTATGTATACATGCCAGCAATTATAATCGCTGATACTTCAATTTTCAGTGTGGTGCTACATTTACCGTTGGTACATCCCCCTTGGTTCACGTCGCGTTTGTTTTAATTGGGTCCGGCGCATTTTGGTCCTGTGGCGTGTTGCTCCCTCGCGGCTAAGGCTTCTTGCGGCTCACGTCTAATCATGTCGAAGGGTGAATTAGCTTGTGTCTATGCAGCTTTGATGCTTGCTGACGATGATATTGATATCACTGGTAAGTGCCGCTCTTATTGCCGTGTAGATTGCGTCAGAAACCAGTAACTTGTTTTCGGATTTTTATTTTGTATTTCATAGATAACATATTAGGTTTTGAGATCTGGTAGATGAAACTAGACTTAACTCGTGTACTTGTTTCATCTGCTTATTTTTCCACGTAGTTCAAAAGTCCTGTCGCGATTCAGTCGTTATTCGACGGGTTCCCTGAGATACTGGCTTAATTTCCGACGTCTACTTTTGCCCCTTTTGCTCTCAGCTGATAAAATCAACACGGTTTTGAAGGCAGCGAATATCAAGTCCGTGGAGCCATTTCTTCCTGGTCTCTTTGCCAATGCCCTGCACGGCAAGAACGTGAAGGATATGCTGTTGAACGTTGGCGCTGTGGGAGCCGGTGCACCAGCACCCGCTGCTGCAACTGCCGCTCCGGCGACCGGTGGTGCTGCGGCACCTGCTGCTGGCGGTGATAAGAAGGCAGAAGAGAAGAAGGTGGAGTCCGAAAGCGATTCGGAGGGGTCCCTGAACTTCGATCTATTCGGTTAAATAAATTTGTATTATGTGGAATATCGTTTATTGTTAGCTGTACGGTCGAAATTATTGGGGTGCTGCGCTCTGGCGACCGTCCTGTGCCATTTCGGATAGATGCTACAAAGAGTGTGACCTGGGGAATCGGGTCTTTACGAGTGTTTCCTCAGGATACCTTAGTTGTATGGGTTAGGTTCATATCGTCGGTTGCTTCAATTGTTCACTTCGCTCTGGGTCAATCCAATAGAAACCCCAAGTAGCCCGTTCATTGTTTGGAAAGGGGCTTGTCTTCCGCTTTCCGACACATGGTGGGGGGCACTTAAACGCTTACCGACAGATGTAACTAGAGTCAAGTAAATAAACTTGAAAGAGGTTAAGGTTCGTCGTAAGGACGACAGGAGTTCGGGCGGTGATTTTGCAGTGTTCAGAAAAATTGAATTGCGAGACGCACAAAACGGTGGATGCTTGTCGAGAAGCGAACTCGGGGTCATTGGTAAAGTTCACGGGATCTGAACTGAACCGGCACTTGGGCGTCCGGGTCTTTGGTGCCACAAACGGTTATAATATTTATGCCTGGTTGGGTGGGACGCAAACAGTCGATCGTTAACGGTAGTGACGGGAGCCGACGTTGTATAAAATTAATATGGATGGCATCCGGAAAAACGTAAGATAACGATTGAGATGACATCTAGGGTGAAATTTAGTTGTGGTAGGTTCACCAATGTTCGTGTATGTTATAATCTTGAATCTCAAAACCTTCCATAACCCTGGTTTGCTGTTCCGTGACGATTCACTTACTCGGTACCGGATTATAAACGGTCATGCGGTAGGTTGTCACCCGGTCGATCCAAGTTCGTGTTTGATGTGAACTGCCAAACCCACTGGCAGCGGATCTAGTTTTGATCCGGGAACGACGACGCCGTCTTTGGTACACGTTGAGTTGCTGTTGGAGCATGCACATCAGTCGTGTAATGTTGTCTCGGTGTCTCTAAAGCTTTCCACATCTGTTCTCATCGTGCTATGCTTTGTACACTCGATCTTCTGATGAGGGGTTGGGACTTGTGATATGGAGGTTTTAGTGTCTAGACCAATGTCCACTAGGTACGTACAACAGGCAACGGACTAGAAAACGAACGTTAGATGCGTCGGAAAATATCACGGAACCTCAGCGGCAGTCCTACTGATGGGCCTCTAGAGCGGAGTGGCAAATGTGACGTGTGACCGACTGGCTGATCCTGTTCCGGTCAATCAACAGTGTCCAATTATGGGAAAACTAAATGTACGGAAGAGGGTATATGCTGTCATTAACTTCAACGGATTGGTGGCCTCGAGACACGTTCACCGAACAGCGGTCTCGTTCCTGGTTTTAGATGGGTGCCCTTGACTCGGTTGACCACGAAGCACCGTTCGGTTTGCTCCCTCCCTTCGAGGGAATGACCCGGGACTGCTTCACTGAAGTGGCTGTACTCGCATACTTTCGATAGGGCAGGGGTCTGTGCTGAGCAAACCAGATTGTTCGAACCTTATGAGTTGCCCGCTGCGCCGTTCTTGTTCAGTTTCGTCCTTATCGCATATTGGATAATACACTAAGTGGCCACGGTGTTTGTATCAAATCTGAGGCTGGAGAACAGCTGTGCTGTTCGGAGTACATCGGTGAATCCTATTCCTGTTCGAATATGTAGCATGCGCCGAACGCATTTGTCCGACTAGCAAGTTCTGTTGGCCAGATCGGTATGCGCTCGCAAATAGGTTTTTCATTGCTGGGTATCCACTAACCGTGATTTATAACGAGGGTCGATAATGGGCTGCGCTCGAGTGGTTCTCCCGTCTAGGTAATCGCGTCACTACTAAAGGTATCGCAGTTAAAGAGGTAACTGCACATATATCCAATATATATTTTCAAACGTTTGAATCCAGACTGCTAAACAAATGGTACAATAATCTATATGAAAAAGAAGGACGCTTCATTATTGGCTTGTGGGCTGAATATTGTCAGGTTGCCCGGGCCAAGGCAGGTGAATTTTCTTGAGTAATCCACAACAGGAGGCTTCGGCTAACCAAAGCCTGACCCGCAAGGCAGGGGAGTAGTGTGCGAAAACCGCACTCCATTGGGGNGGGGCAGGTGTCCTGTTCATCGGATCATACGACCTTCGGACGGGGCCCAATCGAGCCGCTGACCACTGCAACAACCAGGAAGTTGTGTGTCGTTCGTACGCCTCACGGTTGGTTTACAATCAGGGTTATTGGCCAACTCACCTAGGTGAACAACCAGTGGTCCACCAGCCCGAATATAGCTTCAGTATGGTCGGGAGTGGATGTCTAGGTTTTTCTATTACACGACAGGGAATACAGTAAAAGAGGTAAACCCCATTATCCGGAGATATACTGTGAGTGGGAAGGTATGGGGAACATTCAAGCTAGAACCAGCTTGTTGATTCTGCATTTAAAAACATGGATGTTGTACGTTGGAGGGAACACCGAGAGGCGGAGAGTGTTCCACAGTTGTGCTGATCTTGGGAAAAAAGATGATTGAAAGTTAGAAATGCGACACCTGGGGACAGTCACTGGAAATGGGTGGCTAGCCGCTTGTGCGCGAGATCTACGAGGAAGAACGAGTGGGAGAGGGACAAATGCGGAAAGTTCGTCAGCAAAATCCAAAGTAATATCCATAGAAAAAGAATAAAGAAGCGACTGTCCGACGGTGAGATAGTGACTGCAAGTTGGATGTTAGGGATGGGTCGTTGATGATACGGATGGCCTTACGTTAAACCCGATCAGGAAGAGATAGTGAAATAGGCGAATCCCCACCCCACACATGACTGAAGTATCGAAGTTTAGGGCGAACCTGAGCTTTGTAAAGCGAGAGAAGGTGAATGGGAGTGAAGAAACGTCTGGCGTGGAGGAGGAAACCAATTTTGCGCGCAACGCGGGAACCAAGTAGATAAGCATAAGATGACCGCGAAAGAGAAGAAGATGAGGAAAAACTGAATGATTCTATGGAACGGAGTGTTCGAGTTGAAATTCGAGGAAGAAGAGGAAGATGTGTTTAAGAGAAATGGACATAGGGGAAGTTTTACTGGCATTGAACAGAAGACGGTTGCTACAGCCCCACGCAGAGATAAGGCCCAGATCAGGATTTACGGGGAAACTAAGGGAGGAGCGGTCGTCACTGGAGTTAGCGATGCGCGAAGAGCAATATGACAGAAAAGAGTGAAGAGTAGCGTCATCGGCTAAGGCAGAGGCATTCACAGACACGGAACGAGACATGGTCCATCTACAGTGCGATTGCTCCATCGTTTTCGATCGTCTCGCCCCTCTCACCCGTGACCTTAAGCAAGTAAATTCCCTCTGACCATCTCTGTGATCTGATTGGATCATATTCCGCGATCTGCCTCGCTTGAACTCCCTCACCCCAAAGCAAGACTGTCTGATTACCGGCTTGTACGTTTTTTAATGCTCTTGTTGTTACGTCCAGTCCATCCGAGTGCTGATGGCACTCGCATGGGGTCTCATCCCAAGAAACCTTTTACCTACACAGGTCCTGCAGCAGATTCTTGCCCGGCAGTAGCCATGGTGCGACGAACCCCATTGGATCGTAAAGGTTGGTCAATGAAGACAGAATTCCTCTGCGAGTCGCTGTCGTCTCAGGTAACTGGAGTTGGAGCAAGGACTCTTCTTTCTCCGAGTCCCATTGCACATCAAGTGCTCCGTCTGTTGGTAAAGGACTTCCTTGCAATTCACGGAGGCTCGGCGCCCGCTCATCAACTGGGATGCAATCGATTGCATGACGACTGTTGGACATCCACTTGGTCAACTTGAACCCTCACATGAGCAGTAACTTGGATAGATCTCTAATGTGTCGAACTGCTTCCTCGATGCTATCAAAGGGTCCCAGGAAGTCGTCCACTTAAAAACTATGTTCAACACAGGAGCCCACCGGGGTTTCAAAGTGCTGAGCAAATTGATTCACGGTCGTTTTTAACGCGAAGTTTTCACAGAAAGGAGAGAATATCGCGCCAAACGGGTGCACCGTCATCCGATACTCTTGGGCAGGTCCGTCTAGGTCTCCATCCAGCCACCACTACAACCGTAAAGCGTCTCTTTAACTTATGGGGACTTTAACCTGCACGAACATCTCCTCGATATCAGCCGCTATCGCAATTGACCTCAGACGAAATCTGCACAACACCTCAATTAGCGGAGTCGTCAGATCTGGGCCTTGTAGTAGACGGTCAATCAAGGCAATCCCGGCACACTTGGCAGCACAATCGAAGACAACCCGGATCTTCTGAGGTTTCTTGGGGTTTATGACAGGGTGCTGAGGAAGGTACCGCAATGGTTGGTCTTTTTCTACTTCTCCCATTGCGCGTTCGATATGTCCCAACTCTAGATTGCGTTTCATGGCGTTACAGTAGGCCTCCTTCAACCGTGCGTTCCTCTTTAATCGTCCCTTCAGGTAGTTGAGCCTATGAAGTGCTACCTCTTGATTATTGCGCAACTGATTTGATCCTGTTCGCCAGGGTTGTAACTCCCAAACAGATCAACGAGCGACGCGTAGCCGAAATTGGATCCCAAAGCGTCAACAAAACGAACGATCCGGCAAATTTCTACGGTACTGTATTAAAAAACGATCGAATAAGCAAATAAAAACTGTACAAACCTCAAAGTGATCTCGTAACAACTTGAAAATGTGAGCGTTCAAGTCGCGATTAAAACAAGTAGGATAAAAATTGAAGCAGATAAACAAACAAAGTCAAATGGTAGGATTGATGTGTAAATATACAAGGGGAGTGGACCGGCAAATATCTATATTTATATGAGGCGGATGGTGTTTGGTGAATGGAACGTAAAATTCACGAAATGTGGAACCGAGGTGGAATGACTGGGCTTTACAGGAAGGATTTTCACAGATCGATCGATACAAGGGTAACGGCACTTCAAACTGCTTTCCATTGTGTCGTGTCATTTCGGTGACGATAACCAGGGCTGATCGGTCTTCCCTCGACATAGATACACGGTCGTCTGCTATGTCGCCGAACTCGGGATTTTATAGCCGCTCCAGGTCATCTCCTATGGGATTATCTGGCTGCGAGTTGAAGTTGATCGAGGCTGAATAATTACCATCATTACTGAGCCAGCGGAGTATCCAACCAAGCTTCGGGCGCATAGCATACGGATCTCTACGGCCTCCTATCATTTGTTCCAGAACCCAATGCGCCTCAGGTACATCACAGCAGATGAATATGTCCACTCGGGTGTCCGTAATATCGTCGAATGGCAGATCGTGGAGTCGAGGCCAGCGCCGCGCTAGCGACCGGATACTTTCGGAAGCTCTCATTGGTAGTTCGGCGATAGTAAATGCCTGGTGCACCTCTATCGTATCTTCCTCCAATGTAGGAGGTAACTTCCAACTCAGTTGAGAAGCTGAAACTGCTCGTGCTCCATTTACCGTGCTGATTATCAATGAGGTAGTTTGTCCATCCAAGTCGTCTGAAATGGAAGTGGATGAAATTGCCATCGAGCAGCATTTAAAAACTCTTTGAAACAACAAAGGGGCTGTGTTATAGTCGTTGATAATTGTGGTATTCTGCAAAATCATATCATGGACTAACGCACTGAGTGTTAGGCGGATAAATCTTCTGCTACACGTGAAAAGTGCACGGTTGCGTGGGGAGGTTGCAATCACGCATTCCACTCCAACTCTATCATCCGTTGGCTGAAAACTTTAGATAATGGAAATGCGAATTCCAAATATACGGATATTAGATCACTATGCTTTATGATGCTTTTGCGGGATGTCAATTCGCTTTCACCAAAATTTCACTTAATAAAATACAGAGAGCACTGCCAGACTCCCAGTTGATAGCTGTCAAGTTGAAGACTTTTAGAACAACGATCTA